ATCCGGAGACGAGCGCACTAACCATGAGGCCACCGCGCCTCCCTAAGGGCACATGTGGGCACATTGGAATTTTGTTACTGAGCCCATGAGGGAGCATCGGAATACAATGGGATAACTATGAAAGTTGAAATACTTTCAAGAAACCAGAACAGTTACAGATACTGGAGGGCTGTCATTAAGTTTTGAGTCACCTGTAGCCTTAATCTTCACACCTGTAACAAACTTGTTACCTTTTGAGTGAATTGTTTCGACTATAGGCAAGTTCACTGATAACATCAATGGTCCATCAAACATACTCAGCTGTAGCAGGTATCACAGGTTACAGCCCTTATTGACAGGCCTGTATCCTATTAGCTCTGCATACCCCTCCCCATTGTACTACACTTCACGGGAAACTTCAACATTGAGATTGAAAGAAATGTTCATAAATAACATTCTTGATGTTGGAGAAGCAAATACATAATATGCACAAAAGACAACATACTGTAATTCCTTGCATAGTCCTCACTTGAAACTCCTTTGTACTTATCACGATTTTTCTTGGATCTTTTCCGTTCTTGCTTTAACCTGTCATCATCCTGAACCAACTCAACAAGGTCTTTCACTTTGTGACGTACTGTGTAGAAAATAACATAAAACTATTTAAACCTGCAGGTGATTGCTGGTAATATCAATAGGCAACCTGACATTACTAGAGGGAGTTAATTTGTACTATGATGATTGTTCGAGCTTTAACAAGAATAATTAAAAGGTTATATTTCCCTACCTTGCTACCTTATATAAGGCTGTGGTAAATTTTGACTTGAAATGAGTACTGAAAATTTTGCATTGCAAACTAAATGATTAACTTGTTTGAGCACATAAGATTTAAAGACCAACTTAACACCAGTTCTTTAAAAAGTGTCAGTTTCAAACATTTCTTTGCCGGAAACTTGCTAGATCATATCATTCTTCTGTCAAGATACCATCGTGTGGTTCCAGAAAATATCCACACCCCCACCACGGGTTTATTTTTCCAGTTTGACCCCCCATCCTCCAGGATTTTCCGTTCCAGGGGGTTTCACAGCACTCCTCACCCCTAGCCCTCAGAAATATTGTATCCATAAGTAACAAGACTTAGCTGATTTATTCTAATCTTCTAGGTACTGTAATAAAATTGAAACGCAGTTGTTTAAGGTTACATTGTAGATGAAAACGTAAGTAGTAGGTTATGGAGTAGCAGGTTCCATCCAAAAAGTAAGCAGCTAAGGTGTGCCTGAAAAACTTGCCACAGAGCGCCTGCTCACAATGCATCTTTCAGGGAGAGTATGCCACTGGGAACATTTTTGAAAAATGATTCCCTGAGATGCCATTTGGGGCTATTTTCGGTAAATGTTGTGTAAATTTGTAGATGGTTTTCCCTCTCTTAATTTGATCTTATAGTTCTGGAATGTACCTTTATGAGATAGTGATAACTGAAGTCATGTATAACTGGACAGCTTACAGTCACTATGCATGTCATTATTACCTTTATTTTCTTTACATGCCATGCAATTACAAATTCTGAACAACTGTAGTGCACATGAATAAAACTACATACTAGCACGGAATATCATCTTGAAAACAACTAGTCTTTTTCACAATTATAGTCACTGGTGTTCAGCTACTGTCAACTTCAACTCAAGTCCTTGAATCCACTATATGAAACAGAAGTAAATGTAACATTCTCGTGCTGTGGCATCCGATACCCAATAAATTGAATTGAAGGTTTGGTTGTTTCACGTCTTACTGGCTCCTGACAATTCCTAAAAGAAAAACTCACTTAAATTGTATTTTTATGTTAAACTACATTTATTTTAAGCTTTTTTTTTCTGATATATAGTTTGTCAGGGTTTTACTGAAACTTGCACATGTACAAATTTTTTCTGAAAGGACACCTGTGAAGGTAGGAAGTAACCTTAACAAAAACGACATTATCTCTAGCAGATAACTTTGGCAATTATTAGCTTTAAAATTCTCTATATTTAGACGCTTTTGTATGCATTTCTTGGCTTCATCTTAAATGAAACCAAATACAACAGAATTTCATTCCCATACTATAATGGCTAACATTTGAAGAAAACAGCTCGAAAAATAAAAGCAAAGATCTCAATGTAAAAATCAATCTGAAAACAAGAAATCAAGTAATTTCTT